GAGCGGGAGCGGCCGGGTCCCCCGCCCTGCGGACCCCGGGGGCGCATCCCCGCAGCCAGGCCGGCGCCTGGGGATTGGGCCGGGGCGTCCCTGGGAGGGGGGATCCTTGACAGCTGGGCCTTTGCCTTGCAGGCATTTGGGAAATCCTTGACAGCCGGGCTGGGGAGCGCAGGATCCCTGGCAAAGGAGGGGAGGTGGGCTCTGACAATGGGGCTGGTGGATCAGGAAGCAGGAAAGCAGTGGAAGCTGCTGGGTTTCTGCCCAGGGGGTTGCACGCAGGCCGGTAGCATCCCCCCCGCCTGTGGGAGTTGGTGGTGGTAAGGGAGTGCCCATAGCCCCGGCGCCTGACCGGGTACGTGTCCCGCAGTCAGACCCAATTGTTCTTAACTTTTTTTCCCCCCCCCGGTCGGGATGCTGTATTTCTCTGCCTTCTTGCCGAGACCCAAAATGTTTACAACACGCTCGGTTCAATTTCACCTTGTTCTCCACTTGGCAGAGTGACAGGATGCTTGGGGGGAGGGTTACCATCAGGTGGCTGCAGGTCAGATGTTCACTTTCAGCTTGAGTGTTATGAGAGCAAGGGGAGGTATTGGGGGACTGCCTGTTGCCTCCATCCTGAGTGCAAGCCTCTCAGGAGCAGGGGGGGAAGGCAGGCAGCTTTCAAGCAAGTGTACCTGGCCACAGGAACGCGCGCTGCAACGTGCTGGTCTCCTGACGGGCAAAACACCGATTTGTCTTTTCTCCTTCTTTAATTTATCCAGTTTTCCCAGGGGCTCTGACCACAGCTTGGGAAACGTTGCCGTTATAATCAAGATGTCAGGATTAGGACATCCTTGACTTGGAGGCCTCTGGGTGATCGGAGGATTGTTAAGGGTCAGGTCTATAGTCTGAGGCTGTGGCAGAGGGGAAGGAGTCCTTGACATACCTATCTATGAGGCGTGATAATGGGGAACTTCTGGAAGTGAGGTGTGTGTGTGAAGAGTTGGTGGTTCTTGACAATTTCATTTGCGTTTGTGGGAGTGTGCGCGGTGGTGAGATGTTCAGCCCGGCCTGTGCCTCAGTGACTTCGGTGACTGCTTGATGTTCAAGCCTTTGTTGAGCATGGTAGTTTGTTGTGGGGTTGTAGAGGGGATATCCCTAAAAGCCAAGCATGTGTGTAGGACAGTATGGTTCCTCAGCAGACCTGTTTGGTTTTTTTTTATGGACAGATATAGGAGCTTGCCTGACACTTTTTATCTTGCGGTTCTCGGGCTTGGAGGTAGCCTCATCATATGGCTTTGGTTTGTGTTCAGAGAAACCCTAACAGTTCATCCTGTGCTTTAGGTGAAGAAGCAGAGGACCTTCTGAGAACTTCACCAGGCTTGGAGATTGGTAGCATCACAGATTTGAAAGGCCATTTTGCCATCCAGATCAATGATTCTCCATTGCTGAGTTTCATATTCCTCTAAGTTTGTTATGCTGCCATAGCCCATGACTCTGTGTCACGGTTAATAAAAAAAATAATAAATTCCTTACTGCACTGTCATTGCAACTGCAATGTAACCTCTCCAGCAACCTACAAGATACCATAGTATTATTCTTTTTTTTTTTATTTGCTCCTTTATGTTTATATTTCTCCTTTCCCTCTGTCTGCTTTCCTTTTCCTTCCTCTTGTGTACCCTCTTGAAGTTCAGTGCAGATATCAAGGGGCACATGTACCCAGCTTGAGAAACTCTGACCTGTGTAAGACAAGCCATAAAATACAAAATCCCTGGCAGCCCAGTACTGAAGACATGTATGGACCCTTTGCCTTGTATTTTAAGTGGAGAAAAGGGGACCCCTGGAATCGGGCTATGGCATGTTCTTCAATGGGATGGGCAAAAGCATGATCAGAGAGATTTTGGGCTGACTAACATAACTTGCTTGGGAGGTAGACCTAGTCTATGAGCTCTTCCTAAGGAAAGAAAAATGACTACAATTATCACTGTTCTCAGAACTCAATGCACAATTCATGTCTTTGGCTCGGCTTTCCTCTACAAGTTCTTTATGTGCAGAGATATAGTCACTCAGCACCTGCTGACTTAAGTGCCTGGGGGGTCTTTAGGATTGGGCCTGTTTGAAGATGGTCAGGGTTCTGTTTGAACAGGGGTGGACAGGGAAACTAAGTGAGGGAAACATGTTTCCCGGGGTTTTTCATTAGCAGATACTTGAACAAAGAGAGAGTAGAGTTTTTGTGTTGGTTTTTTATCTGTCTTTGGTGAGGGGAGAATCCCCGGCAACTTATCCCATAAGGGTTTTGTGCAAGTTCAGGGTTGTGTGCAAGTAAACAAACTTGTTAGTAGGTTTGGTAGTTCAGTTTTGACTAGCAGGTCTTTGCCACCCCTTGACATGGTGAAGGACTCTTTTAGAGTGGAGGCACTTCAGTAGTCTGTGCAGTAAGTGGTTGTTGGGGTTGCAGTAGACTCCGCAACAGTTGAGCCCAAATCTAATGAGGTTGGGGGACTCTTCAGATTCTCTTGAGTTATGAAAAATAGAAGACATTCTTTCTGTATCCCAGTGGAGACAATCAGTGGGGAAAAATGCATTCTCTCTTGCTAGCCACTGGAAAATGTCCCTTTATTCATCCTCCAAATAAATCTTCATTCTTTGAGAGAGTTTTGGAACTGTATAATTGCATGTTTTATTTACTGACAGGATACTCTCACTAAACCAGGGTGGCCATCCTATTGCATGGGTGCCACAAGTGGCATGGGCAGCTTCTGTGTGTGGCACATAGCTGACTAAGGAAAGGTCAGGCAGCAAAATCACAGGGCATGGAGCAGAAGGCAGAGCATCAGACCAGACGGGGCACACAGGAAAGGAAGCAGAGCAGCAGCTTGGGCAGGGAGCAGAAAGCTGAGCAGCAGGCTGGGTAAAGAAAACAGATCAGAGTGGCAGTTGGGAGGGTGCAGAGCTAATTTGTGGAACACCTGCCAAAGAAGGTTGATCCCCACTGCTCTATGCTGTCCAATTCAAGGAAAATACTACATCTTTTTAAATGCACATGGAATAGGGCAAGTGGCTCTCTTTTGAAGGATTAAGACACGTTCCGCATAAATCTAGGCCTGTGGTTTGTGTAGGTGAAGGGAATGAGGCTCTTGCAGCAGGGATGGTTTCGTGTTACCTGCTTGCATGGTGCCTGGCTGCAAAGAAATGCTAATACTAAGGCTGTGCCTGCTCCTTCAACTTTGCATTAGTCTTAAGCATGTATTCACACCTGAAGGTTAAGTTCTTGAATAATACTGAGGTGCGTACATGGAACAGGCCTGAATTTGTACAAGTACTTCCTACAGTTTTGGATGTGTACACGTAGCCTCTTCTACTGCTGCCTATTAATTTATGTGCCACAGAGATGCGAGATAAGTCCTTTATGAACTTGCTTTCAGAGGAATTTAGATTTTTTTCTCTAAATCAAGGTTGTATATATTCTGTTATAAAGTAAATAAACCCAAAAACAGCTACAGCTAGGCCAGATGGCACTCCTGTTTCCTTAAAACTAATAAAGAGTCTGTTTTCGCTTATTATAAATATATTTCTTCTACAATCTAACAATCTGTGAGATGAGTGAAAACTAAGAGTTAATGTTGTAGATGCTAGCATAGAAAATTGAGTAGGCTGGTTTGTTTCTATGGGTTTTTCTACAGGCTAATTTTTAAATCCTTTTTGTTTTCTAAAATGTTAAAGTATCACTTGCTGTAATACCTTTTTAGTTTTTAAATGTAAAGTTATTCTAATTTTTTATTTCAGTTGTATTTGATTTGCCACATAGTGCCAACAGTTCTCTAAACATTGCATATTATAGTAATACTGAACAACAGAATACATTCAGTTGTGGTGTATAAAAGGAAGACATTTTTACTATGTTTTCACTTGCTGAAATTGGAACCTTTCACGTGTAGGACTCTTATATCTGTATAGAAATCATCTTAGACCATGGGTGCTCAACCCCTGGCCCACAGGACCATGTCCTCTGGCTTGCGGGGCTCTGCACAGGTCTAGAAATTTGGTGGTGAGGGAGCAGTGCTGCCAACTTTCCAGGCCCATAGAGATCTCCAGGCCTTGGATGCTAGCCAATCCCAGTGCTCAGGGCTGGATGCTAGCGGTGCTGGGCCCCCATGTCCCAGTCCCTCTGTGGGAGTGTGGGGGCCCATGGCGCCCAACTCTGGCATGTAGGGGCAGAAGAGGGCCGTGCTGGACCCCAGGGCCCAATCCAGAACTGAGAAGGGATGGCACCAGGCCCTCCAGGGCCCAGTCCTGGCATGAGCGGCATGGAGGGGTTCACCTTGCCCCTCTGCTCAGGATCAGACCAGTTGCCATATTTGAGGTCAGGAAGGAATTTTACCTGATGGTCAGATTGGTCTGGGCTGTGGAGAATTTGCCTTTCTGTGTGGGGGACACGACCTTCTTCCTGGGATTTCTCAAGCTTATTTTAACAACCTTTGCAATACCAGGATGTTGGTCTCTGTGGTCCCTCTGCTTTACCTGTGGCAGATTAGGATGTTATATCTTGGGTTTTGTGTCAGGGGTTGACTGTAGTTTTGCAAAGAATGGATTGGTATAGGATAGTTTGGATAAGGATGATTCTGCATCAG